CGCTTCCAACTCGCCTTCCTATTTCCTCCCATTGCCCTTTTTCGGAGCAAATGACTTATCTGCTGTAGAATGTCAGCTGGGAATGAATAGGAACCAAGTAATGATTTTGTGAATGTCTGTCTATTTGTGTGTGTTTGGCACCTCATGGAACCCCATGAAAATCTCTTGCAACAGGAAGCGCTGAATATAATCTTTCCTGGTTGCCTTGAAATCTCACCTAACATTTTAGTGTTTAGTGTTAATAGAAATGTGATTATTTGTGATTTTTATACATCTTATACAAATATACATCTGTGTATAGGGTTTAAGCGCTCTTTTAGGAGTGAAGACATGGTAGGCTTATTAGAGGTGAGGGGTGCTGGGAGCCATTAGAGGCATTACACACCTCTGTAGGAGTGAAAAAGCTCTAGTGTAAAATCACAAAACTGACTCTTGATTTCTTCCATTCCAGATAGGGGCACCCAGAAACTTAGTGATCAGGCACTTAGGAATTCAGTATTGTTTTATGATTCCTTTATTTATTTAATCTTTTCATGTAAATCACTTTAAATTACCATTTTGTATGACACTTGCAATTGCCTAAAATGCAGTTTATGGTGCTGTGCTTTTTATGTCTTTCCTTGGTGTTTCCCAGGACCTCTCCAATTAAAAATATATGAAAAACATAGCTCTAGCCCTTTTTTCATTGTCATAGACATGCATTTCTTTATTTTGCCCCTAACACTTAATGAGCACTCAGCGCTCTATGAGCCGGCTGGTAATAATTAACATCTCTTTCTCGCATGCATATGGTTGGTCTCTGATTAGCGAGTTCATGAATATGTATATGTACTCTGATAGAAGAGGTTGAAATTGGGTCATAATGGCGTGGTATTCTTTTCCGGTGCTATGAGTGAAGCGTAGCTGCACTCTCTGACACCATCTTACTACCTTGACTCTTTCTGATTTAATGATGATGATGTAAACATAATAAATTAATTAAATTATTTATTAGCTTATTTATGTATTTATTTATTTGTTTGTTATGTTCCTTTTACATTTATGCACAAATATTTCTATTTAAGTCTTTACTTATTTGATACTTTTTTGGCCGGTATAGCTCACATCACTCACTAACTGATTTGCACTCTTGTGAAAACTCTCGTTATAATCATTGAAGTCTCTTAATTGATCTCTTAATTGCATCTTTTCCTTGTTTGTTATAATGAGTGCAGAACTAAGTCAGTGAGCACGTGTCTTAAGCGGTATTGAGTGGATTTCATTATGTGCCGATGACTAATGTAAACGCCTCTGATTTGCCATTGAGTTCATGTGTTTAACACGACTGTAATTGGTTATAATATTCAATGCTGCAAAAAAACAAATGTTTTGCCGACATTTGCCGGCGAGTAGAAATCTAAATAGAATTCTGTTCCTGATTAGTTAATTCGCAGGATGTCCGAATGGTAATTGCGATTATTTTTCGATTAATCAAACAGCTCTAATGTATCTTTTACATTTATCTATTAAATTGACAGAGATTATAGATGTTTGGAGAAAAAACTATGCATGATCTTCTGATTTCAGACTGCAGAAAAAGCATCTAACCATGTTTAGGTTTTCCAGGTACAAAGGGCAGTCATCTCTGAGCCCAGATATTATTTTGACAGCCCTCTTTTTTTTTCATTTTCACTACTTTGACTTGTTCTTTTGTTATCAAAGGTCATTTTCAAGGTTTTTCTCATGGAGAACTGTTCAAGAGAGATTGCTCCTGCAAATATACACAACAATGTCAGGTGGGGAGGTGTAAGTTCAAGAACCTCTTTTTGTGTTCGGTGTGTTTTTGTTTATCTCACAGATTTAAATTTAAAGGAATAAATCACTTGAATTTTTTTAATATATATTTTTTTACACATTTGGAATGACATGGATGAGGGTGATTAATAAATGATGACAGATTTGTAATTTTTAAGTGAACTATCCTTTTTTGTGAGCTTGTGCTCAGGGATTTATTTTGTCTAAAAGTGCGCAAAAGACTGGAAAATTGTACATAACTCTGGAAAAATGAGTTTACATAAGAATGTAAAAGGCGACAGCCCTCCTGTCACAGAACAAAACATCTGACCCCCAAACCTTCCTGTTACTATGGCATGTGTCACCATATCTGTCGTCTGTGATAGAACTGTGATCGTTCTTTTATATTGATCTATTTCAGATCCCTACACAGGATGACAGATGGACAATAAATTATCTTTACAAAGCCATCTAAAAGCATTTATAGACTGTTCTGTTCTTTAACACTTTCAAACCTAAGCTACATTGCAGTGTGAAGACTTTTCGTAGTCCATTTCTCTGAAACTAGGCCAAAAGAAAATAATTCTCAAACAAGCTGTCTGACATTGTGTTGTTGCTGTAACACTGAATTTATTGCTTTTTCATAGGCCTGTCTCTCTCAAATGAAATGACATTTATCAAAAGCTTTAGAGAAGATAAAACTCTTAAACAGACTCCTGGCTAAAGGACCGTTCTTCCATTTGACTACCAACAAATAACCTGTTGTGTATCCATTGAGCCAGCGGTGACAGAATTCACCTAATTGAACTGAAGTAACATGTGGCCGAACCCAGAAGGAATCCAGAGAGGGAATCATCTGTTCAGGGTAGATAGATCCCGTTCTTACAGCTGCTTTCATCAGCTTGTGGCAAAATAACAGACAGATGAACTGCTAAAAGCAAAACACTTTAGCAGTTCAGAATATATTGTGCAATGACCCGCCACTATCAGCCGGTCATTTCATCCGCTTAAACTCAGTCCCTCCACAATCGATTGCAATTTTCGAGTGCATCACCCACATCTTAAAATACACTTGGATGTATGTCACAATTCAAAAGAAAAATCTGTCACTACTTCCATTGCATCGCGATTCGCGAATTTAAAATTCAATTGTAAGGGATTTCTTTTATGTCTTTATCCAATTAAAGTGAACATAAGTGCAGCCTCGTACTTGTCACCTTAACAATCCCACTGGCTGTATAACTAAAAACACCCGCCTCAAGCTGGATTCCATGAGGTCAAAGATAAATAATATCCAGCCGGTATTTCTTAAGGAAGTGATAGATGAAATGATATGTATCGGGTTGCATAGATGGTCTGTGAGCAGATATGGCAGGGTTGACCTGCTATGGCTATCTAGACAGATACTACAAGAGGTTTCAGCTTGAGAAAGCACCCAATCTCTGACACATTCTCCAATAGCTTTGTGTCTAGACGGGCTGGCTTGTGGATAAATGTTGTCACGTTCAGTGAAGCCACTTGTCTTATGGTTTCCACCATGCATGAAGCCATGAAATTACATAGCAATAGCCATTTGGTTTCTGATTTATTTTGGGGAGTGATCTTTGGGGACGGAAATTTAATGGAGGCTGTGAGAAAAGAGGCATCTGTGTCTGATCCACCAGTGTGTGTGTGTGACTAAAAGGCAGGGCTGGGTGTCAATCTGTGAAGTCCTCTGTGGAATTGGATCCAAACCAAGGGGAAAGACTCTGAATGAAGTGTCTCTCCATTTTTAAGGGGAACAATAACAGATGCATTTGATAGGAAATACACATTCTGAGCAGCAGAGTAATTCAAGAGTGTAAGAGGGTTCTCATTCTGTCTTATTTTCACTCCATTCTCTCTTTATAGTGTGTCTATTTTCACTTTCACACACCTTCCATCCAAGCTTCAAAGCCTTGATGAACAGTGCAACATCATTGTGTCAGTCAGACCCCCGCTGAAGCCTGGATCTCTGTGACAGTGGGACTATAGTGTTCCAGCATGCTGTCCTGTCAGAATGCAGGCCACATGATGTCAACTACAGCCCTCCACTAGTAACACCCATAATTACCCACTGGGTGGCTTGGAGGGAAAAAGGTTTGGAGAAAAGCCCTGAAATGGGTCACCACCATTGGGCCAGAGTGGACAACAGTGGCTGTAATTAAATCTGACAAGGGATTAACGTTGACTCCAAGCACCATGGTGGGAAATGGGAATGTGTCTTTACAAGTAAAGTTTTTGTTGTTGTTGCAATTAGTGTTAGTGCTGATCGGTGGAGAAATGGGAGCTGTCCAATGCAGTGGTGCTGAAATGCAGTTGCAGCATGTAGAACTCCAGGTGGGCGTTCTCACGCTGTGTTTTTTATAAGCTCAAACTCAGATTCTTGTCTCCCACTAGAAGTAAATGGGTTTTTATGTGATAATTATCCCAGTTCTTTGGACATATTTGCTGATAACAAACCACTTATTTTCAGAATCAGTTTTAAGTTTGAAATATTGTCTTATAAACAAAAGCTTCTGTTACCTAGAAAAAGAGATGCCATAGGTAAAACAACTTTTTACATTTCTTTGTTAAATTGTCGGTAATTATTACTTGTAACATACTGTATTTTTATTGTAGTTATTATGAGATTATAAGAAATATTACGGGATAGCATTTTTGTCTGTGTATTTCACAGTTGAGTTAATAAACACATTCTCTAAATTGCTATTAAAACCTGCCAATTGGTGTTAAAAGTTCAAATGAACTGAAATGTGATCGTTCATGCAGGCAATTTTGGCAAGACACTCTCTCCAGTCCATACATTGTATTTTTTCTTATAAAAAACAATTCTACTGTGAAATATCTCCTTGTTAAAGTAAGTTAGTGAGTTGTTAGGTAATTTAAAATATTTTACAGTAAAATGACATGTCTCTTTAGAAAGAATAGGTCCAATGCATTTTACCGTACAGCCTATAGGCTATGTTTTACCGTATAGCCTATGTGGTAACTTACAGTTAACCAACTTACAGGTTCTCAATGTAGCATGCATTAATTTTCCCTCCCCCTTGTTTTTACAGAATGGTTTGAGGGTTGTATTTCAGAAGTTAACCGCCGTGAGAAATAGCTCAGACAGTAATGAGCCGTGGCTGTGGATCAATAACGTGATGCTGCGCCGAGCGAGCGCAAAGCCACGGATATGTGAAAGAATGCGCGAGGGGTGGAGTTCTACTCTTTTACTTTCCTCTCCACACAGTGCGGACAGAGAGATCTCACCGCTGTCAGAAGAGGCGCGCACTTGCACTCTTCTTTGAGTTTTTCATTCAGCGAACCAAACCCGTTGTGTAGTCATCTTTTTTTCTTGTAACATTGCTGATATCTTATGATAAAGCGCATCACAGGGCATCTGCGCTCTCCAGCGCGCGACCAGCACAGACGCTGATTTTCTGACACCCTGCTGCGGTCCTGCGCGCTCCCGCGTCTCCCTGGAGCTGTGAGATTTTAGGAAGCACTGCAGCACTACGAACTGCTAAACTGTTTGAAGTAGAGAGTGTCCTCTTGTCCCGCGCGCCAATGGAAGGGGACGTTATGGATAAACTGGAGGACATGGCCTCAGTGAGCGAGTTCGACCCTATCACGGGGGATATTCCCGCCACCAAAGTGGAGATCACAGTCTCGTGCAGGTATGAGATAGAATCAATTTACATTCGCTCACTCAAGTTGAAATCACTTTAATGGCGTTTATAGTTCATATGGACTTCATAATGCAGGTGTTTGACTAGAGAAAAGTTCTTAAAAGGTTTGGTTTTTATTTTTAGTTTCAGCAAATAATCATTGTCTTGTATAGAAAACAAGTAGGCTACTGGTTGGTTCTTTAGAGAAAAAAGTTCTTGAATTTTCTTATTGGTTCTATTAACTGAGAAAAATGAAGCTTTTGTTCTTTGAATCACCAGTATGTAGATGGTTTTGTAGGTATGGATAGAAATGCTGTCCTTTTGCATCAGGCTGTCCTTTTTTTTTTAACCCGCCATGAATTATATATATATAATAGTTTTAGAAGTAGTTCACATGCAACAATTATGATACGAGACTTTCTGGCTCTACAATATTAATATGAGCGTAAATATCTAATAAATCCAGTGAGCTGCGTGTATGTAGCTACTTGCCCAAAGCATTTAACGTTGCTGCTCAATTGTCTCCACCTAGATGCCATAAGTTGTCAGATGCTCTGAACATCAAGTCCCCACAAGCATATGATCGTCCCCATATCATCTTCGCTTTCCATCCATAATAAATGTCACATGTTTGTGTATTTAGTTGTATTAAGAACTGCTTGTTAGAGGAAATATATCTTCAGTTATTATTTGCTGGCTTTCGAAATGTGTATTAGTCCCCAAATCATATACTGTAGTGCTGAAGCAAGCAGTGAATATTCATGAGAAGGAGCATAAAAACCCCACCCAGTGTCCTCATGTCAATGAATACAGCATTCAAAACAGCATAGAGGGGTTTATATGTTGCATGCAACGCAATTTCTTTGGGTAAACGATTTTTCTTTTCTTTTCTGATGCTTATAACATCATCTTTACTTTTAGAGCAGAGGTTGGTCTTGATAAGAATGCATCACTGAAATGCTGCTGTTACTGGAAAAACAGGTTCTGAGATGTGGTGAAAAAGAATTTCAGGCAGGACCACAGTTGGCTCATTGCTCAGAGTGATAGGTGGGCTATTGGTTTGGGGTTTTAATCATCTTGAGGTGTGATGGATACGGCTGGTGTACTCAGCATCTGCTATGCCTTTAATAGTCGTTTATAGTCAATTATACACGCTCCAGTCCAATTTAGACAAAATGATTTTACTGAATTTCCCAACTTGACAGTCAAACCATCTATTTAATGAGAGCAATTTCCCATGCAAGTAGCTAATAACCATAAACTCGCCAACTTCTCAGCTGCAAGTTAATATTGCATGCTGTCTGCAATGAGAAAGAAAGATAACTGATTATGGGTGTAATTTGGTCTGATTGTTAGCTGAATAAATTTCTCTGTTAAAGACCAAGACTTCATCACATTAGCTGTGATCTCAACTGTTTTTAATGAACCAGATATAAATAGCTTTTTAGATCTGAAATTCATTTTCAGCTTTTACATCCACTAAATGATTATATCATTATACAAGCAATACATACTGCACTGTGCATTACACAAAAATTCTGACTTCAGTGATAAATTGCATTTTAATTTGAACTCGACATGTATTTGACTTGGGCCTTAAGTGTCACTCACATGCATGTAAGAACATATTATTGATTTTTTTCCCTACCTGTCTCTTCATTCTTTCTTTATACTACTTGTAAAAAATGCATGCATATAAGGGGATTTCTTTCATATATCCAATCATTATGGGTGCAAATAATATTCTAATGAATATAAAATACTACAGATTAAACTTTAAGTAGGAATTTCAGTTTGTACAGTATGATCTCATTTGATTCTAAGAGAATTTTTAGATGATTCTTGTTTGATGTCATCAGGAGTGGCTCCCATTTCTAATTATGAAATTCCATTAGCATTCCCTTTATATGATCTTTCTACCCTTCTTGCTTCTACACTCCCACATAACTGCAATAATTCAAACACAGATAAAAAAAACCATTAGTGTTATCAAACATGCGATCAAGTTATTGATTTGTACATTATTGTTATTATTTTAATTGAATTAGATTTTTGCTACATCCTTGCTTCTGAGATTGAATCAATGAATAAAGAAATCCATTGGCCCTGAACTATTATGGCCCTCTCTGTCAGCGCAGAATTCTCTCCAGGTTTGTGATGAGACTCTGCGAGGCGGTGGTGGAAATCATCGCCTGCGTTTGTTCTCTGTAATTGATTTAGTTTGGGCTGATTATCAGGGGATTGTGGCAGACATGGAATTGAATCGCTTCACTTCCCCCTCCAGATTCCCTCATAACCTGCCGATGTTATTGGAGTGCAGAAAGTTTGGCCTGACAAACCAGAAACTCTGTGATAACCCTTATCACAAACAAAAGCTGCCCTGTGGCTGTGAGATATGCAATTGATCCAGTTGTCTGGCACTAATTGGGTTTTGGGTTCTGATTGTTTTGTGTTTTAGTATCTAGTGGCAAGAAAAGTATTTGGATATACTTAGTGGGTCTTGAGCATTTTAACTACTACAAATATGAAATATTCAAAAGTGTGCTGTTCAAGAATCAAAGAACAGTTTCCACTAAGCAGCACAACTGTTTTCAACATTGATACCTATTATTATTATTCGCACCAAATCGTGCTAATTACTCATAAAGAGTAGGGGTGTAATCCTGGCTACATTCCCTCCAATGGCCTCCTAATAATCCCTATCCACTGAATTGGCTCTATCACTCTCTCTCCTCTCCACCTAATATCTGGTGTGTGGTGAGCGCACTGGCGCCGTTGTACTGTGGCTTCTGTCACATCATCCAAGTGGATGCTCCACTGGTGTGGGTTGAGGAGAGAATCCCTGATATGATTGTAAAGCGCTTTGGGTGTACAGTAATACATATGAAAATGCTACATAAATGCCTCATTCATTCATTCATTCAAATCAACATATTAGAATGATTTCTGAAGGATCTTGTGACACTGAAGACTGGAGTAATGGATGCTGAAATTTTAGCTTTGCCTTTACAGGAATAAATTACATTTGAAAGTATATTCAAAAGGAAAACATTTATTTTAAATTGTAATATGATGTTATTATTTACTGTTTTTAATCAAATAAATTCAGCCTTGGTGATTTTAGATCCAGTTTATTTTAATAAAACCTAACATTTAGTTACTTTCAATTCTGAACATTGAATTTAGAATTTAATTCTTGCTGCAGGGAAATGCATGTCCTTGCCAAAAATCATGTGTCCCTGTTGTTACTATCCGTCATGAGTTGCTCCATGAGTAGCTCTCTGTGATGAAAAAGTGGAGGAATAAAGTTGCAGTTGTTGGCAAGCTTCAGTTTCACTGCAGACCTACGTCCTCCTCTTAGTTGACCTTGCAGGTGAGGAACCAGATCATGGAATGCATCTACATTCAGTCTGCACTGCTCTGCTGCTCTCCACTGCTGAGAAGGGCTCTGTCTGGTGGGTATTTGCAAGCCTGTAGATGATTTACAGTTGGGGTTCAGCTCCCTTCTCAGTGTGTGACTTGATTCCAAATGGAGCCGTGGTGTATTGTAAGCCGTTATTGTTCTTTTGCTATCCATTCAGCTCCAGTGCCTTTTATTGCTGGATTTCCCCTGGTTATATATGCAAGAATATCAGAGAACCTATTGTCCCAGATCTGTGAATATTAGAGCAGACATTCACGTCTTCCTATGTATCCTGCTTCAAACATGTCTTCCTTCATAGATGGAAAAACTCTGCCACCGAAATGAAAAACAATCAGATTTGATTTTACAGATGCTACTTGAACCTGAACTGGTGAAGAAGCAAGTAACTCCAAAGTGAGACTGAGAGAAAGAGAAATGTAGAAAGATGATGGGTGAATTAATTGACTGGATGGATGGATGGATGACAAGTATATCAGAATACTAAGGCTTCTTCTACATGATGGCATGTCAGACTCTCAGAGTCTGAGCCCTTCGTGGTGGAAACTCAAACAGGGATGCATTATCGCAACCACCCTGTTTTCCATCTACATTGCTGCCATACTCCATCTCATTGGTGAAGAGCTGCCACAGGGTTTCTAATCATGTACAGAACTGATGGCAGACTCTTCAACCTTGACAGGTTCAAGGCCAAGAGTAAAGTCAACTAAACCACCATCACAGAGCTTCAGTATGTGGACGATAATGTCATTGCAGCGCATTCCGCAGAAGACCTCCAGGGCACCCTGAATGTCTTTGCCAAGGCGTACAGAGCCCTGGGCCTAACCTTAAACATCAAGAAGACCCAGGTCCTCTATCCTATATCTCTTGAAAACGTGGACCACTTCCCTTACCTCGGCAGCCTTCTTTCCTCAAAAGCTGACATCGACTCTGAGGTCAACCATCGCCTGAGTTGTGCCAGTGGAATCTACGCAAGACTCAGGAAAAGAGTCTTCAAAGTCAGAGACTTAACAGCCTAAACTAAAATCCTGGTCTACAGAGCTGTTGTCTTACCCACCCTGCTGTATGGAGCCAAGTCATGGACCACCTACAGCAGCCACCTGAGAGCCCTGGAACAATATCAACAAAGACCCTTACGAAAGATCATGAGGATCAGCTGGGAGGACAGATTGCAAAACATCAGCGTCTTGAAGGAAGCCAACATGACCAGCTTCACCACTATAATAATGCAGTACCAACTTCGATGGACAGGCCATGTCATCTGCATGTCCAATACACGTCTCCCCAAGCAGATCCTGTACTCCCAGCTGAAGGAAGGTCATCGAGCCACTGGTGGGCAAAAGAAACGTTACAAGGAAAAGATCAAGGTCACATCACATCAAGCAACTGGGAACACATTGCACTGGACAGGAGCTCCTGGAAGAAATCTGTCCAGAAAGGTGCTGCACATCACAAGGAGAAAGACAAAAAGGCTCAACCCCCAGCAATTGGCCTCTACAGCCATCTGAAGACCCACAAGTAGACAACCCAATAGAGAGGACATTCATACTTGCCTAGAGTGACCGCCGATGATGATGATGGGGCGGAA